CCTTTTTAACCCCCTTATTCCTCCTCACATGTAATCTCTATCTAGTTATATCAGAAAAAAAACCTCTCCTACTTCTTATTGTTCATGAAAGAACAAGAAAAGATGGGGACAATCTGATATACATTACAGGTTTCAGGAGAAAAGATTTCAAAGAGTTGAAAAAAGAGATAGGTAGGATTCAATGGCTAGTATCTACAAGTGAAGTCAGTCCTAGATGGATAGCATACTTTAAAGAAAAAAATCCACCAATACAGAATTTGAATGAAGAAGAAAAAGTACATCTCTCTAGTCAGTTAATAACTATTTATTAAACACCTATTAAGTGCCAGGCTCTAAAGAAAATGATGTAGATAAACTCATTAGCCAACTTAGATTTGAAAAACACATGTATAGTAAATGGGCATGTTAATAGAGGATTCATATAAAAGAAGAATAGTATAGTCTTACAAGAACAGAGAACACTTGTACCAAAGTACAGAACGAGGTAGTGCTAGAGATGAAGTAAGAAAGACAACAAAATGGTCATCTACTTCCAACATCCGCATTTTGGACCAATGTCCAAGATATGTGACTTGCCCAAGGTGACATAGTGCATAAATGGAATCTGAATCCAGGTCCTCTCACCAGACATCCTGTTCTTTTCTCCATAACAGGTAATGCTACTCAAGTTGTATGGTAGGATAATAGATAACAAAGGGAAGGAACTCTAATTTTTCTCCTGTTTTTCTCTATGAGGAGAAAAAAATATGAGGAAGAAAAAAATAATGGGAAATTAAAAGCCAAGAAATGGGAGAAGATACTAAGAATGCTTAGCTTCTCTTAATTAGTTCAAGTCGTCATATCTGAACTTACTACACCTATTTAAAAAAAAACAGCAAGTATTATTGCTAAGTTGCTATAAGCAATCTCTAAAAAATCATAGAGAACGGGAAAAGTACCAAAGGGTTAGATATGAGAAAATGCCCCAATTTTCAACAAAAGGGGGATGAGAGCAAGAACTATAGACAGGTAAAACTTAAATTCCTGAAAAAAAAAAAGATTCTAGAATTTTAAACCTCTAGGTAATTTTGGAATTTTAAGATTCCAGAAATTTAAAGAGATGCTTTTTGAATACTTAAAAAGGAAATGGTAGTAACCAAGAGCCAGCATGTATTATCAAGAGCAATTCTTCTACAACAGTATTTCCTTTTGTGTTAACAAGGTTACCAGAAAGGTAATTAATTGCTTCACTAAAGTCCTAACATAATGATCTTAGATCGTCAAAGTTCTGGTAGGCAGTACTAAGTTGGAAAGGCTTCAAGTGTGGGATCCAGGAATAGATGCATACCTGTTATCTACAGAGATTAGCAAAGCTGAGTTTAAAAAAAAAAGTTATCAAGATGTTTGTAGGGTGATAAATGTTTTGTCCCTAGAAACTGTAAAAAAATCATTTACTGTATCATACTGGATTTATAATCAACATCAGTAGAGGATGTATATTTCAGATGTAGAAAGGGATTTCATCACCATATTGATAAAATCACAGATCACTGAAGCATAATAAAGCAAAAGCATGATAGATTCATAGAATACCAAAGACACAGTATGCTGTACTTGGACAAGGTGTTTGACAAAGCTTCTCATGACATCTTTGTAAATAAAATCAGGGGCAATTAAGTGACACAGTGGAGAGAGTGCTGAGTCTGGAGTCAGGAAGACTTCTTCCTGAGTTCAAATCTGGCCTCAGACACTTACTAGATGTGTGAACCTGGGCAAGTCACTTAACCCTGTTTGCCTCAGGTTTCCTCATCTGTAAAATGAGCCACAGAAGGCAAACCAATCCAGTATCTTTGCAAGAAAACCCCAATGGGGTCATGAAGAGTTGGATACAACTGAAACAACTCAACAACAGCCACAGTAACACATGTACTACTTACCTCACCAGGCAGTTACGAAGAATGTGTTTTGTGAAATACTAAGGTGCTATATAAGTGAGTTACTATCATTAAAGCAGCTGGTGGCACAGTGGATAGACAAGTGAGTGTGGACCTAGGAAGACATGGGTTCAAATCTGGCCTCAGACACTTATTATTTGTGTGACCTGGTCAAGTTACTTAACCTATAGCTGCTTCAGTTTCCTCAACTATAAGATAGGATAATAATCACACCCACCTCACCAGGTTGTATGAGGATCAAACGTAAAAGTGCTTAGCACAGTGCCTGGCACACAGTAGGCAATACATAAGTGCTTACTCCTTTTTCTTCCCCCTATTGAAAAATTGGACAATACCCAGAGTAAAGTGAGCAGGATAATGAAGGACTATGGACCGTGACACACATGGAATGTAAGAAGGAACTAGGGAAGTTTAGCCAGAAAAATGAAGAGACTGAGTGAGAAAAAAGTGAAATAAAATCTCCTTGAAGGCACAGGTCATTTTGTTTTTGTTTATCCAGCTGCTGCCGTTCAGCCTTTTTCAGTTGTGTTCGACTCTTCATAACCCCAGTTTGGATTTTCTTGGCAAAGATACTAGAGTGGTTTGCCATTTCCAGCTCATTTTACAGATGAGGAAACTGAGGCAAACAGGTTTAAGTGATTTGCCCAGGGCCACCACAGTGGCCTAAACACAGCAGGCACTTAATAAATATTTGCTAAATCTAAGTGATGGATTTAACACTGATATGATAACTGTCCGAGGTCTTTTGAAGGGCTATCAGCTAGAAGAAGGATTACAGTCTTTATGCTTGGGTCTGAAAGTCACAATTAATTTTAACAGCCTGACTGAAGCTCAGTTTAAGGTAACGCTTGCTAACACTTAAAGCACCCCCCAAAGTTGAATGAATGGCCTCAGGAGGTAGGGAGGTTAGATATCACTGGATATCTGCACACAGAATCTTGAAGGATTCCATGACCTCTGAGGTCCCTACGGACTGCAGAGATTCAGTGATTCTATATTCAATTTGCAATTAAAAATCAACCTAACACTGGCTGATCATAAAAATATCAATAAAAAATAAAGTCAATAGTTTTAAAATGAAGCATGAAAATGAAACAGTGGCATCTGTTATAATAGTTCTTGAAATTGCTGAGAAAGGAGAGAGAGAGAGAGAAATATATCTATATCTGGGGACAGACAGAGACAGTGGCTCAGAACCAGAAAGACCTGAATTCAAGTTCAAGTCTGATACGTAGGGGCCTGGGCAAACCACTTAACCTCATAATATCTCAAACAACTCTCTAACACTACAAGATGAACAAAAGGTGACAATCCACATTGGTAGAAGGATCTTCCACACTAGAAGTTCACTAAACAAATAAAATTGCAAATATTGGCCAAAATAAATAAGATAGGAGAGGAAAGAAGAAAAGAAGGAAAGCTTTTTTCCTCTTTTAATTAAATTTGTTTTGTCTTCTTATTAAACTTTTAAAGTACCAGCATTCAAGGTAAGGTTTTTAAACTATTAATCATATTTCTGCTTAATTTTCTTAATTACCAGCACTGAAAATATTATAATATTAATTTTATATCAAAATGTATAGTATGTTTTAGGATGGTCTTTTACAAACAAATTACAGTTCACATTTAACTTAAGTGCTTTATAGTTTACAAAGAACTTGCTTAAATTTTCCCTATCAATGAGAAGTATTTTTAAGCACCTACTCTGTATCAAGCACTGTGTCAGGCACTAGAAATACAAGTACAAAGAAATGAAACACCCCATTTTGAAGGTGCTTACCTACTAACAGAGTAGACATATGTTAAGTATATACCACATAAATAGAAAGTTGATAAATCCAAATATATACAAAGTAGTTAGATACCAGGTAGTTTAGGAGGGAAATATATGTAAGATAAATAGTGCAAGTATTATTATAACCAGTTAAAAAATGAGGAAACTGAGTCTCGGAGAGATTAAACATCATGTCTATTTGCACAAGGGTAGTTAAGTCCAGATCTTGAAGTCCAGGTATGTTTCTGTTTCATATGACATAATGATTTCTCTAGAAACAATTAGAATCTCTCACAGAATCAGAATTTTTAGAGCTAAATGTTTCTATGGGAAAATTAATTCTAAAATCCCAATGACAAATTTACACCAAACTTCTGGAATATCACCCAGTTTTTCAAATCAAGGACTTAATTTGTGGTGTATATTGTCCTCAGTCATGTGGATTGACTTGGGCTCTGAAGTCAGAAGCAACAGGAAAGAAAGTTACTGATCTCCTTTGCAAGGTATTAGATTTAACATTCCTTCGTAAAGACCAAAATTAATTCTGTACAAGCCTTTGACTTCTATGGAGAAAAGGTGCTATAGAAATCAAATGGATGAATGTATGTGTGTCTATACACACATGTATGATATATACACATATATATACATATATATTAGGATCTGATATAGATATATAAATGTGTGTATATAGTAATCAGAACCTTTCTCTCCCAGGAAGTCTCATTAGGAATTTAAAAGTCTTGGACATCTAAACTACACATCTAAAATAAAGCTTTTTCTATGTAATTCCAACTTGAAAATCTGCTCCCTAGCTTCTATTTCAGATTATTTTTAATTAACTTCATTGGCATTTTGCATCCTGCTATGAAAAGTCCGCCTAATAGTCTCAGAGGATCCTCCCAAGAGAGAAGAATGCATTAAATCACACATTATCACATTATCGTGTATTTCAGTACTTAGAGTCCACATATTAAAGGCTTGGCAAAAGCATCAGGGAAAAAAAAAAACAACGCATGAATAAGTTTGACTGGCTCACAAATATTCTGAGGGTATTATCCTTAATATAATAGTACTAAAAAGTTAGAATATTGATTTCCTGTTTCTCCACATTTATCCCAGTAAACATATCGGATGACTTGAAAAGTCTATTCTTATTACCTTTTCTTAATATACTAACCAGCTCTGGGACCTTGGGAAAATCTCCTGACCTCTCTGGGTTTCAATGTGGAATGGTGGAAAGTGCAGTGGACTCAGGAGACCTGGTTTAAAATTCCAGTACTAAGACTCACCAGCTCTACAACCACAGGCTCCAGTTTGCTCATCTGTGAAATGGGGATGATAATAATTACCCCCAGGTTGTATTGAGGAAAACACTTTGTAAAAACTTACCTACAGAAATGTAAATCAGTCATTTTCACTATTAAGATAAACCTTAAATTTATTTCCTAGACTCATTCTGCTTTATAATTCTCTATGCAGATATTGTCTACTTTGACCTAGAAATACAATTGAAGTAAGTTAATTTTCAATTAAAATCAAAATCAAGTTCACATACTAAACAAATGAGTTTTTAAACAACTTATTCTCAAATGTCATACAGTAAGTACTGCACTGATCCTTAGGGTGGCGCTCACAGTGGCCCACTCTATAGGTGAAGGAACTTGTCATTCCAAGCTCTTATAGCAGTTTACTATGAGGATAATTAAAAAATAAAAATAAGAACACACTATTAAAATAAGGATTAATAATCTAGAAGGTAATTTTTTAAAATAACAGTTTTTCAAAAGTTCCAAATTGGTTTTATGACAAAAACATTATTTAAGGTGATGAATGGCCCATGTCTGAGTATAAACAGCATGTTGATTAGTTGAAATGAATATAAAGGTCATGCTTAATGACAAGAAAATTATTCTGTTGACAATAATATGTGTAGAACAGAGATGGTTTCTGGAAAAACACCTGTTTATCATTCCAGCTCTCTGTGTGTGATACTTTTTTATAGCTAATTCATTTTTATTTTCTCTGTTTAGAAATTATGAGTCTACTTTTTAGAACAGAAAAATAATGATAACCATAATTCAATTTTACAGCCTTCCATGCCAGAACATTTTTCTTTAACCATGGGTATTTTCTGGTTTTATCTGCTCAGGCTTTGATTGACTTCTTCTCTCTCATTTCCTTCTATGTCCTTAAAAAAACTTTCCCAGAAGCTCTACAGTATTGTTATTTAAAAAAGAAAACAACTGTTCAGTTATAACTTGGAAAGTCAAAGTTCTAGATTAGGTTTCTTAACTCCAAAAAGCATTTGACTTTGATATCCATTATCAGAGGTCTTCAAACCAGAACTGTCAATGGGGTTAAAAAAAAATCAGAAAGCACAGGCCTTGTTATGGATAACAAATGAAAACAAGGAGTGTTATCTCCAGTAGAAGGAAGCTATTGTCTAACTTGTTTATAAGGCTGCTTTGGAAGTTACCCAAGTGCAAAACTATCCCTTTGACAAAGAGTACAAGACAAGAGAATTAATTCATTCTTATGAAGTCTTCCTTTTAAGGTACCTATATATCAAAACAAAAGACTAAGTGAAAATGTATGCATGGGCCACTTCAAAGAAATGGGTCACAGGAATCAGAATTAGGAAATGGGTTTCAGGGCAGCCTCCAGGACAAACAGATCAAACTTGGAGCACAGACATGTTCACAGACCTACAGCATTCCAAAATCTGCTGAGGATAGAGGAATTTGAGAGGCATTTCTAAGCACTGCTTCCAAACAGTTTCCTCAGCTGTAAAGAGAGAGAGCTGGACGACTCCATGGACATCTGGATCCTCTTCCAGCTTGAGATCTATGACCCTAAGAGTCTTAGCTCCTGAGTTAAAAATGTGCTTGCCCTCAAAATGAAGTTCATGAATTCTGTTTCTCCCCAATATAAGGAAAGAAGAATAGAGACCTAGCCGCTGATAGTCTTCTTGGTAACAATTTTAAGTTCTCTACATGCGAAAGGTCAATGCTACAGAGGTTGGAACAGGTCCACACACACCAAACAATCCCCTAAATGTATTAGACAAATTAAAAAAAAAAAGGCAACAATTATAAAGAAAGTTTAAAGCAAGCAACTTACCCCCAGGGAGTGAGATCAAAAAGCTGCTTTCAGACTCATCTCCATGCTTTGGCCCTTCAGGCCCAGGAGGAAGAGGTTCTCCCACTTGGGACATCTGCCAGCCCTCTCACCAAGATATATAGAGCTTACACCCCTCTGTCACAACTAACAGACGACCCTGAAGGAACAAACAAATGAAAGAACTTTTATGTGTTGCATTCGGGAAACTTACTGCAGCTAGCGGGGGGGGGGGGGGGGGGGGGAATAACATTTAAAAAGAAAAGCACACCACCCACTAGGAATATTTCCTCCCCCTGCTCCCCTCCCCAAGCCCCACCCCTTGAGAAGTTTTGATTTGAAAAAGAGAAGTAAGCAAATTATTACACAGCCACTCGACGGCCAAAGTAAAGTTTCTGCTAGTCCTGGGGGTGGGGAGGGAAGAGCTCAGAAGGGTTGGATATGTGGGTGCTGAGGAAGGGGGCGGGAGGGAGGAGAAGGGGCTCAGAGTTGGAGTTTGGAAGACGAAGGAGGAGGAGCGAGCAGAGTGCAGGGGGAGGGGGGACATGAAAGCCCCTCCTCCCGCGGGGCGGTGGGGGCAACCAACGAACCAACTCCGCGGAGCTAACAAACTTCACTTACGTACCTCGGCATCCCTGTCTGCGATGCCTGCGCGCTCTTCCTCTTCCTCGTTCCCCCTGCCTCTCCTCCAGTGAAAAGTTAGCGAGTCTCCGGGAGCCGTAGCATCTCCGGTCCCGCGGCCGTGGCCGTGGCCCTGGCCTTGGCTTTGGCCGCCGCCGCTGCTGCTGCCGCTGCGCTGCTGCTCCCAGGACTGCGTCTCAGCCTGGACTCTGCTGCGCTGGCTCTACGCACCCCGCCCCTTCCCCGCGCCCCAGAGCACCCACCGCTGGGGACCTTTCGCCCTGTACCTCCCCTTCTCTCTTCCTCCCCTCCCCTCCCCTCCCCTCCCCTCCCCTCCCCTCCCCTCCTACCACACTTCAGAAACACTTTTCTTTCTTTCTTTCTTTTTTCATCATTTCCGGATCATGAAAGCATCTAACTCTTGGCGGGTGGCCACAGCCACTGAGACTGAAGGGAGGCGCAGCCCGGGGTCCTGCTGCCCGCCTCGCTCCTCCTCCTCACCCCCTGGTCCGTGTCTGGGTCAGGAGGCCAGAAGGCTGCGCAGTCCTCTGGCGAGTAGTTTAGACCTCAGACTTTGCCCTACTAATGGGTCTCTGGAAAAGAGGATAGGAAGCTGATGCCGTGCGCCGTACCCGAACACACACACACACACACACACACACACACACACACACACACACACACACACACACACACACGCCCTTCTAATATACTTTTCCTCCACTTTCCAATTCTGCCCCAGGCGAAGTTGCAATCATGAGAATGCCCGAGGGAAATTGAAACCCAGCAACAGAAGAGGAAAAACTGAAATCTGGTCGGGTGTCCAACTCCTGGTCTCGGTAAAGAGAAACCTCTGAAATCAGGTAGAACTAGTTGGCATGGGACAACAGGAAGCAGTTTGGACAAGCAAACTTGAGCTACTAAACTTGGGACAGACGCCCTGGCCTGGATCTCAAATGGCTATTGTCAGCAAGGATGAAATGCATCAACTGGACAGACATTCCATGTGTTAAGTGTAGAAATTTTGTGTAAGGATGTCGAGGAGCTAGTAAAAACTACTGTTATAAATTACACACTTTGTAATTTAGTTTAATGAACTAAAGTGAATAACAATTGTAAAAATCTTTATGAAGTCCTTAATAATGTCCCATGTAATGTTTAGTAAGGTCCCATCAATATTTTAAAAACTAAAATAGTCAGACTTTGACTCAGTCTAAAGGGGAAAAATCATAATAAAGGTTATCAAACTTTAAAGTAAATGTAAATGAAGTTAATATGTCACTACTAGTGTCTTGCTCATTTCTTTCCTAAAAGAATTACTCAGATTTGGTACTTATTCAGCTGTCCTATATCTTAACTTTTTGTAATCGTCATTAAAAGTCCCTAAAAATAACTAGTTTCCCCAAAAAGTTTTTAAAGTCAGTTGCTGGGTGAATTTGACTCTCCACTATACACCTGGCCACTTGACCAGGGCAATCTGGGGTAAAACTCCTGCTTTCCTTAGATTATACTCAGGTTAGCACTGTACATAGGCTTGTATTTTTCCTTAATTGTAATATGAATATAAATCTTGCCTTCCCCAAAAGAATGCAAATTAGCCATATTATGCTGAAATGCCTGGTGCTTAATTAATACTTGTTAATTGATTGACAAATAGATCCACTTATATCATAATAGAATGCATGTAGTAGGTGATAAGCCAATATTTGTTGAATGAATAAAACCATCTTGTATCCACTTTCAAATCTACCTTCTGATGCCTACTATCTTTGTGACCTTGGGCAAGTCATTTAACCTTCCTGGATCTCAATTTCCTCATCTGCAGAATGAAATTCTATAATTTTGTAATTTTATGGAAATGTTAATGGAGCACCCCTTAAGAAATATTCCCCCAGTTTCCACAAGTGCTCACAGATTGGGTCCCCAGAAGGCAGCTACCACCACCAGATCTAAGGGCAACTCTGTAGGTATGTCTATTCGCCTAATACTGTAGATAATGAGCCCCTTCCAGTGTGCTTCCCATAAATAATCAGCCAGTAGATCATCAGCTCTTTGTAAAAGCATTTGTTAAGGTCGCATAGCAAAAATTATAGCTAATAAAACATTCTGTCCAAAATACTGGAGTACACCATCTCACAAATAATATATATTTAATTCATAAAAAGAGTAGGCTCAAATTTAGCATATTATGTTAATGAGACACAAGTGTAGGATGCATGTCTAGCAAAAGCACCTCAAACTTCTAGTTCTATAAAGCCTGGAAATATCCTCTTTCATTGTAGAGTTTTCATGTTGGGTCCCCAGGGTCAGCTCCTTTCCACGGCCTGACTCTCAAATGTCAGGGATCATACTCCATGAAACTCCTTACTCCCTCTGGTGACGATGTCTCAGTATGTGTGTCTGTCAGAGTGTGTGTCTCTCCTCCCTGCTGGATGTAGTGTGTCCTTCTGGTCCAGTGGCTCTCTTCAAAGCTACGTTTCCAATGTGGGGAATGGGAAGGAAGGAATTCTTTCCCCTCCCCATAGGGTTTCTCCTTAACTGGCAGTTACAAGCTTACAAAGTCTCTTGAACTAGAGCTACTGAAATTCATCCAGGGATAATCTGTTTAAAGACCCCAGAGGCATGGTCAATCCCTTTGCTCAGCCAATCACTGAGACAATTTGGTCCAATCAGAGATTTGTTCCCACTTCATAAAGAGATTAAATCATAGATCAATCTCATATCCTTAATTTAATAGCTCATTAGCACCTTGAGATCACATTCTGTGCTGCATGTGATTAGAGCAACTGAGGTGGGGAGGAGAATTCTTTTTCATTAGAAAACAGATTTCAGCAGTAAGGCACTAGGTAAACCAAAAGTATATATATATATATAGATATATATATCTATATATATATACATATATATCTCTATATATCTATATATATATATATATATATATGTATATATATATATATCTCATGAACACTTCCTATAAGAAGATGATTTGAATATACTTTGCATGTTGAACACCAAATAATGTGACCAAAAAAAATTTATGTTTTAACAGAAAGGATATAACTGATTACTGAAAGCAGTCATTTTAAAATCAGCTATCTGTATACAGTCAGAAAATAAACATGTTAAAGATGAAAGTCAATACCAAGCTAGAAGAAAGAATCAAGAAGAGGAGTTGTAACATATAACTGAGGCAACTCTAACTTGGCATATCTAAGCAAGGTGTTGAATAGACAGTGAGCTGGTCCCTAATTGATAAGGAAGAGGAAAATGAGCCTACTGCCTTGGGAAAACTGTGCTATGGCTTAATGATCTCAAATATCTTCCCGAACAAAGACTCATTTTTGAACAGCAATATTCTTCCACTGATGATGTGTGCCTTGTGAGTCATGGAATACCAAAGTCTCTGTAGAACTTAAGTTGAAGGTCACCCAGAGGACAAGCAGATCTGAAGGCTAAAACATGTTACCTATGAAAGATGCCACAGGAGAAGTGGTTTAAAGTATATTGTCAGAAAGCTGTATGACCCCCAAAAGAAGATGGGTTTGGTCATATAGTAAGAGTGAAAGATGACTAGTTGAAAGTCTTCTTGCTTTATTGATATGCATAAAATATCAAGAGAGCCGGAGGAAGGCCTCAGCATACTGGATGAACCCTATGAAGAATCTGTGGGAGGACATGGACAAGATGAGAAGATGCAGATAGGTTGTAATTTATACCAAAAGGAGTACCTACATTGATCAGTCACAGATTTATTGAAGTATCTAAGTAAACCACAATAAGGTCTAATTATTAGAGTACAGGGTCGTTGCGTAATGACAGGGTAGGGGCATTCCTGGCCAGTAGCTCATGTACCCTACCACTCAAGTGATGAGGAATGGTCTAGATTAAAGCAGAGATTCTTAAACTTGGGTACATGAACTTGTTTTTTAAAAAATATTTTTAATAACTACATTTTTAACATTATTTGTTCCTTTGCAATCCTGTCTATTTTATTTTCTGCGTTTAAAAACATTATTCTGGGGCAGCTAGATGGAACAGTGGCCTGGGAGTCAGGAGAACCTGAGTTCAAATCTAGCCTCAGACACTTGACATTTACTGGCTGTGTGACCCTGGGCAAGTCATTTAACAGTGATTGCCTCACCAAAACAAACCAAAAATAAATAAATAAATAAAAACCAAAAAAAAAAAAAACCACCATTATTCTGAGAAGAGGTCCATAGGCTTCACCAGACTGCCAAAGGTGTCCATGACACAAAAAAGGTCAAGCACTCCTGGTCAATAGACATGCAGATTTTGAAAAGGCATCTAGACATGATCACCTACACCTAAAGCTTATCCAGAGTTATGATGAAAGTTCATTTCTGTGTTACAAATTGTTTTGTCTGACTGTAGTGTGCCTTGAAAGTCAACCTCAAATATCCCCAGTTTTGTTGAACAGAATTCAACAGTGCACAGTGATCAAATCATCTTGATGATGAGAAGTATAACGCTTTAGATATTGCTCAAATGTGTAGGTCATGTTCCCTGTTGTACTGGGGTGATATGCCATAGAAAGAAGAATCTTTACCTGGAAAACCACAAAGAGTAAGCACAGCCCAGAGATGACAGAGAAGCTAGATGTAACAATCAGAGACAACATAAAAGGGGAGACTATGCCGCTAGAAAAATATTTTCAGGAGTAGGTGGCCAGCCTTTGTAGGAATAGGAGGTCCAGGAGAACAGAGAAAATAAGCAACCTTGGCCAAGATTTTTACCTCCACCAGAAATGGCTTTGAAACCCTTGAATAGGGGCAGGTCCATAACTAAAACTGGTATTACTATTACTTAGGGGTAGAAGAGAAACTATAAGAATTACAATAAGTCTGCTGGATTTCCATAAGGTCACAATCTTTCTGCTTCCTCCATCCCCAGATTTTCAATACGACATGATATGATATCTGCTGTTAATAGTGGTCATGGTGGGTGATGCTGAATTGTTGTCTTCTCTCCAAACGGCACTCCCATATCTTAAATATAACCTTTACTGGGAGTAATCTCTTCTCCCATATTTACTGTGGTCAACTTGTAGAAGTAATACAGACTGTGGAGTGGAGGAAGGTAGTGTAGTCTATGAGATGAGAGCCAAAGGAACTTGGTGTGTTCAAAAACTGAATGATTTTTGCAGGTTGTGGTAGGTCAATTGGCTTTGAGATCATTGAATCTCCCTCCTGGATTTGCTGTCTAGCAGAATGCCTTGGGCTATAATACGAAGACTAAAGTACTACCAAAAGCAGAAAATCTG